TCTCGTCAGGCCTGTCCGAGGCCTGCTTCGAGGCAGTAAACCTTGTTTCTTCACTCGAGGTGACCCCTACACATAAAAAAATTTAATTGCTGAACATCTCTTTAGTTAGGGAGTTCATGCATTCTTTTCCCCATTTATTTCTGATTTATTCTTGAACAGATAAAGTTTATGTGATGTTTGTGTTTAACGCAGGTGAGTCGCTGTGAGAAGTTTGGATACGGAGTGATGGTGACGCAGGTGGCTGCCACTGCTCCGGGGGTTGCAGCWCTGCAGAGTTCAGGTACTGAAGCGTTCGTTTGCACCAACAAACACCGAAGGGCTGGATTGTAAGTTGTTGTGCAGCTGTTTAACAAAGCAGAGTCGAGGCCACCCAGCTAGTCTTTGTGCCGTTTTGTTTTTCAGGATAAGTAGATGAAGAAAGAACAACAAAAACATCTAGCTGCAGGAAATATTTCTCTGTTTGGTAAATGTGGTGCAGCTGAATTAAAACGACACAAGAAGTGAATATATTACTCCAGGGTGKTGTCTCAACAAGACAAAACTGTCAAACCATTCAGAACTTTTTCTGTATTTTCTAAAATCAGATCCTTCTAGTTAAAATAAGTGTTGTGGTTTTTGTGTGGCAGGTTTTGTCCAGGCGCTGGTTTTAGAACTCTGGTCTGCTCTTGAATGCGGCGGTGATGATGAGGATGTCAGAGCTCTTCGTCCCAGACCGACACCCATCGACCACATAGACAGGATCTGTCACAAGGTGTGTGCGTGAAATTTCTCATTTAATTCCTGCAGGATCATGGCCAGTTGACCTAGTCTCATTAGCTGGAGTGGTTTTACTCAGTGGTGGGCTGCGCTAATCCAAAAATTAGCTCTGCAATTTCTGAAGCACTTATGCCATAGAAAAACTAGCGGAAGCTAATTTAAAGCACAAGTTGAATTTGACACTTACTAGCTGACAATAATTCATGTACAATATGTACAACACTGCCAACTAGTGGTGTATGAACTCTTTTACAGCTTAATCCTACAACCTCTGATTGCTGGGGATGTGATTTCCTGAAACAGACCTTTAGCTCCTGGTGTAAAAATTAAAAAGTTGTTGAGGATTGCTAGTTCGGTTGCTTCTTTGTCTTTTTCTTTTGTTTGTTGTAGATTTTTCATTAAAGAAGCATCAATGAAGTAATTTTAAAACTGTTTATTGGAAAACGGAAGAGATGCATTCTGGGTACATGATGGATTTGATTTGTGACGGGAAATGAAACTTTTCCATGTAGTTGCTCCAGTTGACCACTAGATGTCTGTCTAACCCCGTTCGACCAGTTACGTCAAGTATTGAGCTCCAGCGTTTAAACTTTATTTTTTTTAAAAGGAGCTCTGATTGTAAAGTAAAATAAATCAATACATACAAAATTTTAGTATGGATTACAAACGTTTACTGTTTTTGCTGTTGTCCTCCTGCTACGTAAGCAGGCACAAAGCATTGTGGGAAATSAGAACCGTGACCCAAAGCAACAGTCAGCAGGATGTATACCTTTCCAATAAGTGTGTTTATCTGGGAGGGGTGCTGTTGGATAGATCACATGTGTTGTGATTCATTGACAGTCATACCTTCTGCTGTTCAAGATAATGAAGACTGGTAGATAATTAATTATTAGCGATACTG